GAGTCATATTAACGATATTGGTATGATCATGCCAAGGACCATGCAGAGAAACGGTTTTTATTTTTTAGCGAAAACAGTGAGTGCATTGGATTGTAAGAAATCAAGTGATCAACTTTGGTTGGAAATGATTGGGGATTTCAAGAATAATATTTATTTTAGGAGAAATCAGTGGCGTACCATCAATGTGTGCCAAAATAGGCAGGTCAAATTCCGTACGAACGCCACAGGTGGAAATTTAGAAAAATTTGGTAAATTAAAAAATAATACCTCTTGATGTATTCCTTAAAATATCAAAATTGGTGTTACAGCTATTATTCATAAATTATTTATTTTGAAAACTTTATCTGTATCTATAAAGTTATTACGTTCAGGACATACATGAAGTTTTCTTCTTAAAATGGACCCAAAAATCGCCTCCTCAAATGTTGACATTCGATTAGAAAACACCCCAATTTATACAGGGTGTTTCCGAAAGGGTGTTAACTTCAAGGGCAGATAGTATTCATGAAAATAATTTTAAAAGTTCCTATGGATATAGGTCCGGAAACGCTTTGTTTCCAAGATACAGGGTGTTAAGTTTTTCAAAAAAAAAAAAAATAGTTCTTTATTAATAGCTCAGCTTTAGCCGATTTCAATGAAATTTTCAGGGTTTATTTCAACATTTTCAACCATTATCAGACATCTACTGGACCAATTAGATTTGATCCAGAATTTCCAGGGGCGTACCCAGCGACCAAGTCGGTTGTTTTTGTGCAGAAAAAAATATCACTCTGTAATTTTTGTACGATTTTTATTAATTATTCAGACAGATACACTAAAAATACAACATTTTTGTCTCTGGAATTTTTCAATTATCTCGCTTTATTTTCGCGAAAAAATTACAATACCATACTTCGGCAATTCTCAGAACTCCATAAGGAAAGATAAACATTCATAGGAATTAAGGTACATCACCCATTCATTGAGTGATAAGGTCATAAATTCCATTTGAGGTATTTTTTTGTTTTGTTTTCATAAATGAACAAACTGCGATAAATTTTTAATCAATTCCTAAGCATTTTTATTTTTTCTTATGGAGTTCAGAGACGTGCCAAGGTATGGTATTGTAATTTTTCCGCGAAAACGAAGCGAGATACTTGAAAAAGCCAAAAGACAATAATGTGGTATTTTTAGTGGGTTTATCTGAATAATTGATAAAAATCGTACAAAAACTACAAGGTGATATTTTTTTCTGCAAAAAAGCAACCAACTTGGTCGCTGGGTACGCGCCTGGAAATTCTGGAACAAATTTAATTGTTTCAGTAGATGTCTGATAATAATGGTTTAAATAAACCGTGAAAATTTTATTGAAATTGGCCAAAGCTCTTTTAGGCTATTAATAAAAAACTAAATTTTTTTGAAAAACTTAGCACCCTGTAACTTGGAAGCAAGGCGTTTCCGGACCTACATATATCCATAGGAACTTTTTTACTTATTTTCATAAATAGTATCTGCCCTTGAAGTTTGTAACACACTTTCGAAAACACCTTGTATACTGATCGGCAAAAAGTTTGCAAAAAATGGTATATATTTTATTATTATAATGTTTCATGGGAACAATTCACTATACTGGGTATACCATTTAAAACGAAACAGGCTAAATATCTGATGTCACTTTTATTTTTTTTTAGAATCGCTCGTACAGGTAATTTGATTGTGTGAGTGTTTGAAACATTTTTAGCACTGGCGTGGGACCAACCTTTACCATTCCAAATGGAACACAGGGGTTGAGTGATACCTGTATTAAAAGAGCGTTCAATTTTATTTCAAATGACATCGAATGGAAGAGAATTCTTACCTTTTTTAAAAGAGATATCACTCGACCCCTTGTTCCATTTGAAATAGTAAGGGTTGGTCCAACCCCGCCTAAAGGGTTAAAGTTGAAATGTTGAAAATGGTTGCAGAAAACTTCCCCCTTTGAAAATCAAATTACATACGAGCGATTTTTTTTAAAAATAAACGTGACATCAGATATTTAGCCTGTTTCGTTTTAAATGGTGCACCCTGTATATCCAATAACAAAATTAAAAAAAAAAATACAATTTTTTTCAAGTTTTTCTCTCCACGTTATTGCAACAAGTGGTTTTGAAATAAATATTTTCAGCTTTTTACAATTTTTGCGAGACAAATAAAACCCGGTTGACACGGTCCAAGTGAAGTGTACTTGGATCAAGTACCCTTGGACGTTGCGCGCGCCTCACTTGGACAATACTTGGATCGTATCAACTGCTTAAGCCAGGTTGACACAGTCCAAGGTTTACTTGGATCAAGTACCCTTGGACGGTGCGCGCGCCTCACTTGGAAGAAACTTGAACCGTATCAATTGTTCATCCAAGTTTAGTTGGATAGGTTCTAACATCCAAGTGAGTAGGCTGGCTGCCAACTTACTTGGTTTAGGTTGTCATCCAAGTGCACTTGGACCACCGTGTCTATCTAATTCCAGTTGGATGGGTTTTAACATCCAAATAAGTAGGCCGGCTGCCAACTTACTTGATTCAAGCTGGCCTAAGAAAAATTATTGCAAATTTTGTTTAAAATATTTTGTTGCACACTCTTTGCTGGCCACGTACGTATATGTCCAGTACAATGTCAATAAATATTTAATATTTCTTCTCTCATGAGAAAAAACCGTAATGCAAATTTTCGTTGGTTTAAAACTCCACTGATGCCTACCAATTACAAAATAAGAGCACCATATTCGGGTATGACGAACTCTCGGATATAACCATCTGATTTGTGGAAATGACCGGATATAACCAAGTATCGAAGGTTGACGATCGGCTATTACTGACTATCTACACTGAAAAAAAAATCGTGTATAATATTGAACAATGGCGGCTGTTTTTTTTTTTTTTTTTCAATAATCGAATGAAATATTCCATAAAACTATAAAACAGTAGTGTTCATAGCCTACGTTCATTATAAAACGCATCAAATTTTATTTTGCATTCTTCTAACGTACATCATTGGAATGAAGAATTTTTTTAAAAGACTGGTGATTTTATTTGAATTGTTCCTGCATTCATTGAACTGATACTATGTCTTATCATGATAAACTTGTTCAGCATGCTCAAGAAATTCGTGAAACACTATACTATCTATGAAGGGTGCGCGAGGCGCAGGTTGAGAGGATTCTAAAATTGGACGGTAAAACTCTCTCATCAGTAATAGTGATATAGTTTTACCAACGGTTAAATTCAATTTAAGTATAGTTTTGCGTGTTGTAATAGTGCTACATCTGTGTCGTGATTTTTGTTTTATTGTCTTGACAAAAATTTATTTAAAAATTAGTCTCACGTAGGATAGGTAGGTACCACTTAAGTAACAATACATTTTTTGTTGTCGTAAGTTCACAATACAATACTTATAATTTGAGTACAACCAATCAATGCTATACTAGGTAAGACTGGCATTTCTGATTACTGGTTACATAAATTGGAAGTTTGCTATTTGAACTTAATTTATATAAGTAGGTACGGTACGTCTTTGATATTTGGGATAATAATTTATGGATTTAACAGTAAAGAAAACCGGTTCAAAAAATCTAATAATTCAACTTTTTTTTACTGTTAAAAATATAAGAATTTGTATAATCCATTTTGCTCATTTTTTTCATTTACATATAAACTGCCAGATTCTAACACATATATTTATGTAGGTACGTATGTTGTTATCTATCTAGAGCAAAATTCCTTTGTCACAGTTTTCACTTGAGAGTTGAAAATTCCTGATTTCAGTAGCATAGCTTGGTACAGATATTTGACAAGTTTGGCATGCCAATAATAATTATTTTAAACAGAGAAGCTTCATTGAAGATGCTGAGACATTTGAATAATTTCCGTGGAATTAAAAAAAGTGATAAATCCTCGTGATAAATCATTTATGGCTTTCACTATTTTGCAGTAAATTTTACATATTCACAAATCCCATTCCTTCTTGTTTACCTAAGTTTAAACTAAATTATGACTGACAAGTCTGATAAATGGAAAATTTGCAGCTTAAAAATGTCACTTAAAATTACTATTGTGTAGGTTTGTTTGGATAAAGCTCACAAAAAGAAACTCGATCCACCTGAAAACATCGACTTAAAAACTAGCGACAAAAACTTAAACCACATGCATGGGAGGGAAGCCTTTGGGTTCAGTTCAGTTCGATCCCATATGTCAATCGGTTTGGACTGTGATTCGGTTCAAAACTTTATTTTCCGCGCTCAACGCGAAACGCGATTAGAACAACGATAGATAATAACGTGATGCTTTAATACATTTTTGCAGGTATTGGAAAAAAGTTCTTCTTTATAATAAAAATATATACTAGATTTGTGATTTTTCTGCCCAAAGAAAACGGAAGTTTCTGTTCGAGAAAAACTAAGATCTACAGATCAACATATTGCAGGTAAACATAGACATATGATAAGAACACATTTGCATTAAAAAATTACAACTTGAGCAGATTTGAAAAATATGTTTATTTTTTGTTGGTATTCAGTAAATAATACCTAACTACAATTAAGCGTCTTATTATGCAAAAATAATGCGATATGTATTTGGGTTCTTCACATCGTATGTTAAATGGCACAATATCAAATCCGATTCTCATCAAATTAGAAATATGCATTAGCAAACAAAAGATTTGTTACGGTGCGTGGATTAAAATTTTCTTTCAGGCAACTATTGTTTTATTTCGAATATTTTTTTTTTTAATTTTCCTGACAGTTACGTTATTAAAATAATTATCGTTGGACGTAGGATTATAAGATTATTATAAGCCATATGCTTTTATTTTATACTTCTTTGTTGTGGACCCAGATTTTCCTGTCATCGTATTATGTTTATTGTGTTGTTGAAAAATAATTTAAATGATTTCATTCTACTTTTCGTTGTTTTTGCATGTTTATTTAATATTTCAATCTAGTTAGGATATTGCTGGGTAAAAAACTCATTTTTTTTTAATTGTTGCAGGACAAGCATGAAACTTTGAACAAATAAATATGGACCATCATTACGAACATGAAAAGGAAGGCCATGAAAGAAGGGTAAGCTTACCTACAACAATAACAATATTGTTTTATTAATTTATTATTATTATTCCATAGAAATTTATTGATTTATCGGTGATGCCTATTTATATTTATTTGCAAAAAGTTTGCAAAAATTAGGCTATTTTTAAGAGGTTGGATAAGTGGCCCTCCGATTAGTTTTCTCTTTTACTCTATTTACAAAGTTTGGTGGGGGAGCTTACTTAACGCCCACACAGTCAAAAAAAATTAAGCCGAGAAGAGAAGTTGCTCAATCTACTGCTAGTTTTGTACACTGAATTCAATAGTCTCCCATACGTCGGTAGTCGGTATGCAAAAATATAGCTCAAGAAATTTACTATAAGGTGGGCTAGCTCAACCAACCAATTTGTAGGGTAATTTGGAAGAAAAAAAATTGAAAAATTCTATAAAAAACTTACAATGGCTATATCTGAGAAACCAAAAAAATATAAAAAAATCGCTGAAACAATTTCTATAATAGGGAGGTGACACTAAAATGATGTACCTAATAACTAACGTGTTTTCACCCACCCCCAGCCACCCGAAGTAAATTATCTTGAATAGCAGCCTCCTACTTGTGATTCCTAGTCTGAAAGCTTTTCAAAAATGGTTTTCAATGGTGCCCTACATTCGATGTGATAGTTTTTGGTTGATTAAAAAACATTATTTAATTCAATTAAAATTGTATTTTTTTAGATTTGTGAATTTTTTCAGGTAAAAACGGATAGACAGGTCTAAAATTTTTAAGCCTCAAGTATGCTACGATAGTAATGAGAATGTTTTTGAATGTTTTCAAATTATGTAAAAGTCAAAAATTCAATTCACATTTCAATGGTTTTATTCTGAATAGCTGACAATTATTACATAGAATGTTAGCTTGTAGGGTACCATTGAGAAACATTTTTTGAGAACTTTCAGATAAGGTATTACAAGTCGGGGGTTGCAATTTAAAATTATTTAGTTAGGGTGACTGGGGGTGCGGGCGTAAGTTATTACATCAATTTGGTTCCCTCTCTCTCTCTCTCTCGGCTTCTCCGCACCAATTTAATTTCGTTTTTCACTGCCTTTTACTCAAATCAGATTGTCTCGATCTAACCATCTATTCCGGCGAGCTCTCAACAATCACCATGTACCACCTTCTCTTTTGCGTATATACCTCCATTCAGATCCATAATCATCCCATCTATCATTATCCGTTTCCCTACTCCCCCAGCAGTAGCAGTACTATGCCTTTCAGGGTCCTTGTACCCGTTTGGGTTTAAAAATGGTTTCATGTCTCTATCTTCTAATTGATCACTTCTAAGCCATTCGGAACTCCATTCTTGATCCGTTTCAAATCGGAGGCTTCTAATAGGATCTCCTTCACGCTGATCGATTCTGAGGCATTGTTATTAGAAGAATGTTTGATTTGAAAATTTTACTGTTTGCAACAATTCAGTCACTGTTTCAGTTCAACAAAAGTTCACTGGTTCTCTCATCAATTATTTCATTATTTAGCTCAAATTAATACACCAATAGACCTATCTATTTTCACCTGTATGCGCGCGCAACACGAGGCAATGCCTTTTTATTGGCTGACTAGTACAGGTGTGAAGTGTTCCTTTTGCACGCTGGGCATCTCCTTGTCCTTGTTCATTACCTGTGGTTTGACAAGGATAAAATTAGGGTTGATATTCACCTTGACGTAGCTTGACAAGTGATCGATTAGTGTTTTTGATTGACAAATAGGTGGCACATCACGCGGTCTCACTCCTTCCCTTTCTATCCCGTGCAAATAATAAGAACGAATTGCTATACATAAGTCTATCGTGATTTGGTACGTTTGCCTGGTCTTGCGCAATTAGGCATTCCAGGTTGACGTCATAACCGATCCGCCATTTTAGCTGAGGGGCAAACAAAAGCCAAACATAACCTGATTTAATGTTATTTTCAATGCAAACCGTCCAAACCGAGAATTTTTGAAGTATTATTTTGTGAAGATGCCTTCGTTTTGTAGCGTTTTTGGGTGCTCCAATAGAGCTGAAAGGGATAAAGTGAGGTTTTTTAGGATTCCAGCAGCATTTAAAGATCGAGGGGATCGCATAAACGAGCTATCAAAAAAACAACGGAGTATGTGAATTAGATGCCTCAATAGGGGAGATTTGCCTGTAACGTTGTTGAAAATGTTCGAATTTGCTCGAAACATTTTGTTAATGGTAAGTTTTATGACTGTCTTGTTGTTAAAATACAAAAACACTTCATCTCGGTACATCAAAAAAGTTGTTTATATTTCAACAAGTATATTATTATTTAATACCTTTTAGGTAGTCCAGCAGAATTTAAGGATACAAACAATCCGGATTGGGTCCCCAGTACAAATTTAGGGTATACTACGATAATTGATAGAAGTCCAGAATGAATAAGCCAGTAAGCTAAGCTACATGCCAGATCTGTGCACCGATCAGAACAGTCAAAACGTTTGAGGAGTCATTCTACCACAAATTTATTTTGCTAAAGTTTATTTGTAAGGTTTTTAGTATCAAACTTTTTTTATTTTTTAAACAATTTAGATTCTTAAGCATTATTTTTGTTAATAAATTGTTTGTTTACTATTGTTGAATTGAAATGTAAAGTGGCATGTCTGTAAATAAAGATTCATTCATTCATTCCATTCATTCGCAAAAACTAAAAACAACTTAAAATTTATTGGATAAATCAAAAAACGCAAAAATCCCAAAGCACAAACTCAAAAAACATTGTAAACAATATGATCGATAGGCTTTGTTTGCCCCTCAGCTAATATGGCGGACCTGTCAAAAGTCACGTGACCTGGAATGCCTAATAAGCGTTCTGCGTCTTTTTCCATCTAATGAAGTTTTCGAATTAATACCTCTTTGTCTGGTAAAATAGATAGGTCTATTGTCTCGATCTCATCGTTAATCATCTCACTTCTGACACCAAATTGTCACGAATTCCGCAAGTCCTGAAATAATTCAGTTGACAAAATTAGCTAATCACTTATTGCTTTTACTTACCTTTATACCATTATTCTCTTATTTGAAACTGATTGCAACTTACACTTCCAAACTACGCGGTTTTAAGGCCGCGTTACGGTTCGTTATTTTTCTCGGATATGCATAATTTGCTGACAAGGTACAAAACGTGCTGCCAAACCTAATTATTGATGAAAATTAATGAAACTTTATATTTGAGCATAGTTTCTGACGGGCTTTCTGCTGCTATAAAAATATTTTTTCCATTGAGCCCCCTAGGGGCTGTTTACTCTCAACAATTTTCGGAAAAAGAGTGCTACCAGCGCTATTTATGCACCAGAATTATCAAACTTTACATTTGGGCATAGTTGGTGAAGGGATTTCTGCTGTCATAAAAATATTTTCCATTGAGCTCAAAGGGGCCATTTACTCTTAACAGATTTAGGAAAAAATTTGTAATCAGTGCTATTCATGTACCAAGTTTAGTATGAGTATGAATAGCGCTGCAAGAACTTTTTTTCCTCAATTTGTTAAGAATAAACGGCCCCTAGGGGCCTAATGAAAAATACAGAAAACCCTCCAAAAACTATGCCCAAATATGAAGTTTGATTTATGTTGGCGCATAAATAGCGCTGGTAACACTTTTTTTCCTAAAATTGTTAAGAGTAAATGGCCCCTAGAGGGCTCAATGGAAAAAATATTTTTATGGCAGCAGAAAGCCCTTCAAAAACTATGCTCAAATATAAAGTTTCATTAATTTCCATCAATAATTAGGTAAAGTCTGAAGATGGGGTGCCAAATTATGACCAAACACCCTGTACAGGGTTTGTTACTTATAATTAGTGGGGCTTCTACAACTTAAACAAAAAACAAAAACAAAAAAAAGTTAAAAATAAAAGTTGTAGGGTTTTATCTCTATTGCCTTTCACACATGTCAAAATGGACAAATGACAGGTGCCAACTGTCATCATGACAAATTTGGTTCAGCTGTTTTTGCGTTATTCAAGTTTAAAAATTTAAAATTGCATTATGCAACCCTCACCATTGATGTAAGGAACCGGGAACAGATCTCATTTAGGGTAATGTAAATGCATTTTTGAACTTAAATAGCGTAAAAACAGCTGAACCAAATATCAACATAGGGTATATTTGGAATCAGAAAGGGTGTTCCATTTAAAAAATGCAAGTGTTTGTCATTATGACATTTGGCGCCTGTCATTTGCCTATTTTGACATGTGCAAAAGAAAATAAAGATAGAAACCTACAACTTTTGTATTTAACTTTTTGTTCGATTTTTGTTTGTTTAAGTTAAAGAAGCCACACTAATTATAAGGAACAGACCCTGTCCATGGCTTTTTCGCGCCAATGTCATTTCGCAACATTATGATATTTTAATTTTCTAATAGATACAAAATACATTTCGTAACAGTATCACTGGGTCAGAGGTGGCTCGATATTTATAGTTAAAATTCATATTTAATAACGAGCAGGCGCTTTTTATTTCAAGTTGTCAGTATTTCGTTTAGTACTCTGTTTCCTAATACTAAAAATAATAAAATTCAACTATTACTTTTCGATAATTACTTAGGGCAGGTATTATAAATCTATTTTGACAGATAACTAAAAGGTAACTTCTGGAAAAACTACGAGAAGTAACGTCATTCCAGAAGTTAACTTTTAGTTATTCTGTCAAAAGAGTTTTATAATACCCGCCCTTAATGGTAAGGTCGAAACGGGAATATCGTAAAATAGGTTTTACAAATTACACGTTTTCTAGAAAACCTATCAGTTGTCGCGTTTCACCATAAGCAAACGCAAAAAAATTGCAATCATACAAATTCTCTTTGCGTTTGAAGAGATTTTGCAACAAATGGTACTTGTTTTGACATCCAACGCCTGAATAAACAAATAAAATATAAAACGTAAAACAGGCCTTGTTTTCATGGTGCAGGATTCCGCATTGCAGATGTCGAAGTTTAGAGAAAATTTTGAAGGCGGCAACACGTATTATTGCGGATCCGCAATTTAGTTTTCAGACTTTCTTACGGATTTTTTCAACGATTTTCATCTACACATTTTCTATCGTTACTTAATTGATTCCTATGAAAAATATTGTTGTTCCAGAATTCCAATACCGAATACGTCCCTACGAAATGTCGCATTACGAGACCTCCGCCCCCGAAGCCGGCGTCCAATCCCTTGCAGTTTGTAAAAGTCGGCCCGTTGCCATTGTTTAAAAAAGCACACGAACAAATAAAGAAAGTGGAAGAGATAAAAAAAGAGCGGACGAAGGAAATACGAGATGAAACGGAAGACTGGCAACAGGTGAGTAGTAGAAGATATATGTAACGGATAATCAAAAAGATATTGTTTATGTTGGGAAATCGTATCTTAGGCCAGTGAGCCATTTCTTGAGGCGGCTCCCATAGTAGGTACAATAAAATGGAATATTTGCAATGGTTCAAAAAATAGAGAACATTTTGGTTTGGTCATAGGGAATTAATTTTAACATAATCCCATAGTAATTGGGAATTAATCAATGTAATTATCTAAAGTTTACTGCTATCTCTTTGGAAGGGCCAAAAAAAAATAGCATTATATGTGAGACTACTTTCCTAATACTGAAGGAACATCATTAAAAAAATAATACGAAAATCACAACAATACTAGGCAAAAATATGTCACTATAACAGTTTAACTAAGTTTCCCTTGAGGCTTGAGACTATCATTATCATAGGCGATCATTCGATACCGAGTATGATTATCTCCTATTCTATTTTTAATAGGTCTGTTCGCACAGAAATCACAAACCAGTTAGAGTGAATTTCATTGGTTGAAACTAGTTTTCTGACTCTGTTCAACCAATGAAATTCGCTCTGACTGGTTTGTGATTTCTGTGCAAACAGACCTAATGTCGTCGATTGTGCATTTACTGATGGCTATATAAACCAATTCTGGAGCCGCACACTCTGCCACAGTCATGGCACACCCAGCCTCTGGCAGCATTGTCTCTCGCTCTGTTCTCTTGCTACTTTCTCCGATTCCTCTTTTCGGTCTCGTTTCTGCATCGCTGTTCTTCAAAAGTTTGTGGTCCATCCTGGACTACCCGACGCCGGCCGTGAGGGCCTATCATTTGCCGTCGCCTCCCAGTTCCTGGTATCGATGCGGCACTTTGTCATATTATTATTTTCCTTAAGAACATCTGTATAGCGTTTTTTTTTGACCTCCTTGATTTTGTTTTCCCTCTTTGATAGCGTTTTCCATTTGTCGAATCAGGGCAAAAAAAATGTATCCTTATCCTTACATGTTACATGCTTTTAGAAAAAGATGCGGATACACTCAGTGCGGCACTGATGACAAATGGAAATCGCCATTAGTTGACTGTAGAGAATCTGTCGTGGAAGACGTGTATCGGGCATGCGGGTGTGGTGACGTGTCCGGCGAAGTTGGTCTCTAATGATGAGGGCTTCCATGCTAGTTGCTTTGTCCTCATCTAAAACACAAAACACTGATGCTCGTTCGTCGGTCTTGCCATTTAATCCGTAGGATCCTTCTTAGGCATCGCTGGTGGTATTTTTCTAGGTTTTTTATGTGCCTTCTGTAGGTGGTCCATGTTTCGCAGCCATAATATGTAAGTGTTGGTATTACAACTGCATTGTAGACGCGAAGTTTGGTCTCAGCGCCGATATCGTGATTGTTGAAGACTTTCTCTAAAAGTCGCCCAAATGCTGCGCTAGCACACTTCAAGCGATGTTGAATTTCAGCGTCAACGGTTGAATTTGCTGCCAGATGGCTCCTAAGATATGGGTTCTACGTTCTTCAAGGAATGGTCATTATAGTTATATTTGGGACTTGGGGATTACTGCCCGGTGAGGGTTTTGAGAATCTGCGTCTCCTGTATGCCTGGTTGAATCCATTGATAATTGCCTGAAGATATTCCTCTGTATTGGCCATCACGACGTTATCATCCGCATATTGAAGTTCAATTATCGATGTCGTCGATACTTTCGTCTTGGCTCGTAAGTTGCTTAAGTTGAATAAGCCGCCATCAAGTCTGTACAAGATTTCCACTCCTGCCGGCAGGTGACCCCCGACAAGTTGAAGTATGGATCCTATAAATAGAGAAAATAGAGTGGGTGCAATAACACAGCCCTGTTTAACGCCTGTAGTTATTTGAAAAGATTCTCCTTGTCCATCGATGCTTAGGACGGTTGCATTTATATTATCATGCAGCAGGCAGAGTATCTGGACACCCAACCTTTGCCAATATCTTCTTTGTTGACCGAATCAAATGCTTTCACTAAATATATTGTCACAACTACCCGCTTTACGGGGGTGACATGGGGGGTTTGTAGCTTTGGGGGTAGATGGAGAGAAACTCGCTCAGGTTATATAAAAATATATGCTATATATTTTCCCAAATATAACCTTACATGTATGCTAATCCTATAAGATACATGACCCTTCGTACACTGGGGTCCTTATAGGGGGCCACACGTCAATTCTGCTTGGGGGACTGTAGATAAGTTTATCGTCACCCTTATGCCTTGTCCAGAGGGGCGTTCCCAACGAGAGGTAATTGCACTGGACAACGATAAGGCTGAAGATACCCAGAGGGGCGTTCCCAACGAGAGGTACTTGCACTGGGGAGACTTAATTCCAGAGGGGCTTTTCCAACGAGAGGTACTTGCACTGGTTTAAGTTTGCCTTTGCTGCGGCTTGCAGCGCAATTTATATTAATTTATTGCTGAATTGCAATAAACATTTGATCGAATCGGCAATTAAATTAATAAGGTTGAATACCGGGTCCTCCTTTCCCAAGCAGCTAGTTGACATATGCCCCCCCTCCATGAAGCATTGGACCCCAATGCTTGGAAGACATTTACAACAAATTATATACAAATACCATAATAGTGTCAAAAAATACAATAATATCCTTATCCTAAAAATATCCCTTGTTTACAATAATAGCCTACTTATAAAATATCCCTGATGCTTAACAATTATATAATCCAAATATCGTGTATAGAGAAAAAAAATTAAAAATTAAAATTAACAAAAGTTTTTTATGGTGGGATGGGTGAGGGTGCATTATTATTCAGGTTACTACAAAAAAAAAAAAAAAAGCTTACAACTAAGAAATTTCATCAACTTCACCGCTTAAGCCATGGGTTTTTTCTTTTGGTCCGGTCCTGTTTTCTGTATTGTAGGTCTGTTCTGGTTCCAAATACTTCTTGGTAGGTCAGCTAGATCGTGGGGTGTACGGTCCCACGGTCTAAGTGTCGCTTCCTGGTTTGTTATGCTTCTTTCTTGTTCATTGTGCTGTATTCTGTCTTTCAAGTGGATTATTGGTTCTGGCTTCAAGTACTTCCTGGTGGTTTCGTCATCTGGGTCGTGGGTTTGCGCGGTCCCACGGTCCAAGTAATCCTTGATCATCTCTTTTGTGAGTGTGGTGGAAATGGTACTGTGGTCTGTCTACTTTTGGTCCATATTCATTTGTTTCTTCTGGTTTGAAGTTCCTAGCCCCTGCTCAGTCCAGAGCTAGGTCCTTCTATTACAATGCCTTCCCTCGAATTTGTTTTGTAGTCCGTCCCTGGTTGGTGGTTTTGTATATGTCCCTGGTTGGTGGTTTTGTATATACATGCAAAAAATAAAATAATATTTTCAAAAATGTGCTTATTCTTATAATTACATAGTTTAATAATTATGACCCACAATCGGGCCACCAAATTTCATAATTTGGTTATTTGATGATCATGGCTCCAACCTGTAAGTTTAGTCGAACTTGTTTTTGTTATACCCATATGCCTTCTTTTTGTAGCTCGTACTTTTCTAAAATCCCTTCGGAGGCTTCTTCCGTCGATAAGAATATTTCTGATTCTTCTTCTTTCATTAATTCATATTCCCTATCTTCCCCTAGAATTATGAGGTCATCCACTAGTTTCCTCTTATATTGAGCTGTCATTCCTCTCCATCCCTCCTTGTTTACTCTTTTTAATGTCTTACTCTATTTTTTCATCCTATCTCTACTTCCTTTTTCTCTACTTTATAGTTTTGCTTATGTTTTATCTGTACAATCAGTCTTCTTCTTCCTCGTTTTCTGCTTCACTGCTTCCAATTTCTTCTTCAATTTTTTCTTCGTCTTCTTCATCCTCATCAGCTTCAGATTTTGCGTTTTCAGCTATATCTGTCTCATCTGCCCTTTCTTCAATAGGCGCAGCTTCTGTCCATGGATCGTAGTAGGGTAACATCCTACTCACGTGGACCGTATCCATTTTTCTGCTTCCAATCTTTTGTACCTCGTAATTCACTTCTCCCATTTTTCTAATTACTTGTATGGTCCAAACCATCTTAAGAGTAACTTTTCACTTCTTCCAACCTTTCTGATTGGGATAAACACTTTAACTTTGTCTCCAGCTTCAAAGTCCAAGTCTCTATGTCTTTCATCAAAACGCCCTTTATCTTTCCCTTGTCTTTTCTGTATATTTTCCACTGCTATGGCTCTTATTAAGAGTGCCTTTTCTCTAATTTGCAGAGCGTCCGTTTCGTTGTCAGCGTCCAACAATGCAGCTTCTGCTGGTAGTGTGGGTTACCTTGCATATGATAACATAAATGGGCTAAATCTCGTTGTGTCCTGTATTGCTGTATTATACGCAAATGTTATAAATGGTAGATAGCTACACCAGTCTGTTTGCTGTGTGTTACAATACATGGATAACATGTCAGCTATTGTCTTATTAAGCCTTTCAGTGAGACCATTACAACAAGGATGGTATGCGGTTGTAAATTGGCTTCTTACTCCCATTAATTTTCCTAATTCCCTTACTAATTCTGATTGAAAGACTTTTCCTCTGTCGCTGAGCAGATTTCTTGGCATCCCGTGTATTAAGAATACTTTTTCCAGTAAAAAATTTGCAACTGGTCCGGCTTTTCCATTCGGTAGGGCGGCTGTGATGTCATATCGTGAGGCGTAATCGGTAACTACAACTATCATTGTTTTCCCTTTACTGCTTCTTCTAAATGGGCCTAAAAGATAAATTCCTATTTTGTCGAAAATTGTTCCCACCGGTATTGGTTGTAACATCCCTGGCGTTTTTCTGTAAGGTTGCCCCTTTCTGGCTTGACAATCTGGGCATCCCTTAACATACTTTTCGATGTCCTTTAGCATTCCATCCCAAAAAAATCTGTTTTTAATTTTGTCCGTTGTTTTGCTCAGTCCTAAGTGTCCACTTGTCGGTGATGCATGTAGCTCCCACATAATTTCTTCTCTCATTGATTTTGGTACTACTAATACTTTTTCTAAGCCGTTTTTTGTCTTATTAATT